CTGCATAGTTTCTGCTGAGATATCAGAGCTTAATCTGATTTATTTGCCTTTGTAAGTAACATTTCTCTTTTCCCTGGCTGCTCTTAGGATTCTCCTTGTCTTTTATTTTGGAGAGCTTGATTATGGCAAGTGTTGGTGATTTTCTTTTGGGGTCTATCCTTCCTGGTGTTCATGCAGCTTCTTGAATACTTATCTTTTCATCCTTCAAGATGTTAGGGAAATTTTCTTCCAGAAATCCTCAACTATCTTCTCTGTCAACTTGTGTGATACTTCCTGTTCTAGAATGCCAATAATTCTTAAGTTATTCTTCTTCATGTTGTCCAGCATTTATCTTAGACTCTCTTCACATTTCTTATCCTTTTTCTGTTTGTTCTTCTATCTTAGCTGTATTGAGAGATTTGTCTTCCAGCTTGCTGGTTCCGGCTTCTCTCTCTTCAATTTTACTCCTTTGTCCTTTCTTTCAGTATATTGTCCATTTCTGATATTTTATTATTAATTATCTGGACCTCTTTTTGCAGGTTTTGAATTGTTTTCAATGCTATATCTGTCTTATTTGATTGCTCCTGTAGCACTTTCCTGACTTCTTCCTTATTTTCCTCCTCCCCTTTGTGAAACATTTGGATTTGTCTTAATATCATTTTTCTAAATGCCTTATCAGGCAGATTCAAAGCCTGCTCTTCTTCTGATGGGAATTCTATGCCTACCTCCAGCTCATTTGTGTCATTTAATCTTTTCTGTTTCTCAACATGTGCCAATGTTTTGTTATTTCTTGGACATTTTCAATAGTTAGATGTGTTTTCAATGATTAAATGTATGTATGTTGCTTTATTATTAAACTTACTGAGTACCTTCTTGTGGATGTGTTCTGGAGATAGGCTTCCCATTTCACAACTATTATTACTTCACTGCGAGTAATCTTAGCAATTGTTGGTTATCTATGTAATGTGTAGCAGGTGGTATTGGCTTCTGACCATATGGTGGGATATTATAGGGTATGCTTATAGCTTGGCTATGTGGCCATGATTGCTGTCTCTTCTTGGGGAGAGAAAACTTCTACCCCAAGGAAAAAAGTAGGACCAAAAAAGGCAAAAACAGAGACAAAAGTAAAAGAAAAAAAAAAAAATCCGTAACAAATTAGTCTAGTTGTTTTAGTGAGTAGATCAGTGTGTGTGCACAACAGAAACCTTCAGGGGTAGGTGGGGGTGTCCACTTGCACAGGCACACACTCTAGTCATTGCCATGGAAGTGCACAGACAGACAGACAGAGAATGAGAAATGAGTGGAAGAAAGATTGTTCACAGTTTTTTCTCTAATTATTGGTTAAGTCTCTCTGTAGCCACAGCGTCCTTCTCCTTTTAGATGTTGGGTTTACACCGATCTCTCACATAGTAGTTGGTGTTGGCTCTTGCCTTTTATGTTTAGGTTTTACAAGGTGCAAATACGGTTCAGTTATATGGCCAGACATGCTGTCCCTTGATAGATAAGGCAAGAATGAAAGCTCCCACCCAAGTAGGAGAGCCAACTTCTGGCCTAAATCCCACAGTCATAAGAACCCACCGGAGGATTAGCCTCTGGACTTTCAGCTGGGACTTTCAGGTACTTTGCGCCGTGGGAAAATTGTGCCCTGTGTGTGCAATGCCAGACCCTTTTGAGGATGTGCTCCCACCTGTGTGATGACACCCAGGCTACGCAGAGAGGGTGTGAGAAGGTCGAGCACAGGAGTTGAAGGAAAAATAGCAAAAGAAGAAAAAAAAAAATCACACCTCTTTCCATAAGTTGTGGTGTGGTTTTTGCTCCCTAACTCCTGTTTACAGCCCCACCCTCTGACCTCTGCCAAGACTGTGGGTCGGAGGCAGAGTCCCAATTGATTCAGAAATCTCCACGTTCCTCCTTGCTCCGTTAGATTCTCCACTGGTAGCTCCCCCGAAACTATTTCCCTTTACTTTATATTGAATGTAAAGCTCCAGGATTGTCCCAGCAAAGTGTTGTTGTTGTTGTTGTTGTTTTTCCTGGCTTTTCCATGCTTCCACCAAAGAGACATTCCTGAGTCCCTTTTGCTTCCTCCGCCCCTAAACTGGATGTCCTACTCCCCTCTTTTTCTACAAAACCTCTACCTTTACAGCTGCAACAATCACAATCAGTCATGATAACAATTACTTGCTGTTGAACCATAAGTGTTTTATCCCCATTTCCTTTCACCACCCCTGTCTAGACAAGATGAAAACCACTCAGTGGAGATTCTACCTTTCCCTGTACCCTCTGAAACTAAACTCCCTCTTGAAAACTTGTAAGCCTTTATAGCTCCCTCACCCCATTTTGATTGCCAATTTCTCAGTTGCGTATCCCTTTCAACCCTGTGTACAGAGTGGATGGGAATGATCCTTGCTGTGAAGATTCCTTCCCTCTTGGTTGGTATTTTAAGCTACTACATCCATAAGTATAGGTCAAATTCATCAAATTGTATCAAATTACATTTGTTTTCTTTATAGAATTTTTTTTTTTTTTTAAATCTTCCTCTAATCGAGTTCTGATCATCCAGCCATTGAAGCTGGGTCAAATGGGAACTATCTGCAAGTATGGACATTCTTGTGTGTATCTCCTTACTTCTTAACAGCTGGATACTTAACTCTCTGCTCTAGCCTTCTGTGGTTATGTCCTTATCCATGGGCTCAATAATCCCCAGGTCTCACCATACATAGCAGTGCTTTTTAATTTACTCTCTTACATGCATTTCCCCAATCCATATTTTGAAAGCAAAAGCCTTAATCCTGGAAGTTATGAGATAGGGCTGTGATTAGAAGCGTGAACCCCACAAGTATTAGGTATTGGGAAATTCTGAAAGGTACAAGATGCAAAGAAGTCTGCAGTTCCAAGATAACTTATAAGTAGCTTTGTCTTAGCAAGGCCACGGGCAGTGAAGTTGGACAGGGTCAAGGAGCAGATTCTGAGATAGGAGAATAGAGACATACTGGAGGCAGGTTCTCAGAGAATAAGAATAGGAATTCTAACCTTAGGGTCAATGAATAATCTCCTTATCATCAGAAGAAGGGTTTCCATGTTGACTTCATAGTAAAATCATCTAGCAAGCTACTGAAGAGTAAAAAAGCCTGGTTCCACACCTAGGGAGTCTGATTTAATTCTGATATGGAGCTGCAAAATGAGAATTTAAAAAGTTTTCCACATGATTCTAATGTGTAACCAGCATTGAGAACCAATGTCGTTGTTGTTAAGAGCCAGTGAGTCAGTTCCGAGTCATAGCGACCCTGTATAGGGCTTCTGAAGAAAAGCTGGTGAATCATTGACCTTGCAGTTCAAATCAACCTTGTGGTCCAGTGTTTATCCTACAGCGCCACACTGGGGCTCCACTAATCTAGGGAAAATCAAAACTCTTATTTCTCTTACATCACTTTGATATAATCAAAATGTATGATATTTACCAAGTTAATCTAAGTTTTGTTTTTCTACACTAGTGAAATAAGCATAGTAATACTTTCCTTGAAAAAGTTTGTTGTGAGGATGCAGAGTTCTGGGTTTAATCCTTATCCTTACAGAGAGTCAAGAACCAATCTGTCTTCAGAATCAATCAGTCTCATATCAGAGTCTCACTAAACAAAAACAAACCTGGAAGAGGCTGATAAGTAGTCAGAGAACTGGGAAAACATACTGTTTATATTTCCTCAACATTTTCTGATAATCACCTGTTGTTGTTGTTACGTGCCATCAAGTTAGTTCCGACTCTTAGCTACCCTGTACAGGGTTTCTGAGGAAAGGCTGGTGAGTTTGAACTGCCATCCTTGCAATTCAAACCAACCTTTCAGTCCACAACTCCTATAATCACCTGTAGTACTAGAGTACACCTCACAAGTGAGCACAGTTCTCATGTTCTGCAAAGTCAGCTTCCTTATTTGCTCTTGACAGTAATCTCCTTTGTCTATGAATGATCCTTGATTGAAAAAGCTCAATACATTTGGTGGTTGTTGCTAAGTGCCGTCAAGTTGATTCCGACTCATAGTGACCCTGCATAGGGTTTCCAACCTTGCCCGTAAGCTACCAGGGCTCCATACCAATATATTTAGTAATGAGTAAAGTCAGTGGGCTTTAAAGTATTAGATTGTTCTTTCATTTTTAAAACTACCTTGGTTGTCCCTAAAATATCCTCAACCATCAGTTTATTGTCTTTTCCTTAGGGTGAAATACTTTTTATATTTCATTTGTGAAATTTCTTAATTTGTTTCTTCTGACCAAAGAGAAACTGGAAGGGTGATGAGATTAAGAAAATAAAAATTGACCCCCTGCTTCCAATTCTACTTAAGAAGCAGGATATGGAGGCAGCTGGTATAGGTTCCCTAGTCTATCCTTTTTACTCTTTGGAAGCAGTAACTAGTAGTTATGCTTTAGAATTTAATTTCAGCTTTGAACTTACTGAATCTCTTTTTTGTAAAACCACATCTATCTTTCGAAATTGCCCTTAGCAAACTCCATTGATTTCATGTTAAGAGAATAAACTTTGCTTGTTTTTGACTTTATTCTTTTGGGGACATTTCGGGTTTCAGTTGGATATAAAGAGAACTGTTGTTGTTAAGTGCCATCGAGTCAGTTCTGACTCACAGTGATGCCTTATAGGGTTTCTGAGGAGCTGCTCATGAGCTTGAACAGCTGACCTTGCTGTTTACACCAACCTTGAAGTCCAGCGTACTAACATGCAGCGCCACAGGAGAATTCCAGAAAATTAGGTGGAAGCAAAAAGAGCTTTGTTGAGGGATTAATAGGCAAAGATTGGTTGGGCATTTTAATGTCGAAGTACTGGTAGGTATCCATGTAGCAATATTTAGCAGAAAGTAGCAATTTCTTAGGAAATAAGTCAAGTCTAGATAAACAGTGTGATGTGGTGGAAAGGATTCTTGACTTTAAATTAAGAAGCATGGGCTCTAAGAGACTTTCTTACCACCATCTCTAACATCATGATTCTAAATGCATCCTACTTATAGTTTTAACTTGAACTTTTTTTTTTTTTTTCAGCATTTAATATGAGAACCTACGATTGCCATATTTGTAGTATTGCCTTTACATCTTCAGAAATGCTGCGGTCCCATATGCAAGGACATGAACATCAAATTAGGTAAATAGTTTTGATGAAATGTTCATTTGACACCAAAGGCCTGGGCATCTGTCAAGAACCTTTGCATATATTTTTGCAAACTTTCTAGGCATTCATTACTTTTTGAGTTGATCCTGAATTTGGTTGGTGCTATTTGTCATATACCCTAGCATCCTCCAGGGAATTCCCTAGCCATAGCTATATATTGGCAGAGCTGGCTAACAGGTATCCCTCCTGACCAACCAGTATTGTTCTTTTCTGAAGAATGCTAAAGGGTATTTTCTACCACTTGTCTGTCAGTTTATCTTACTGTGGTAGCTTGTGTTGCTGTTAGTTTGGAAGGTATTCCACAGGTATTTTAAATACTAGCAGGGTCACCCATAATGGACAGATTTCAGCTGAGATTCCAGACGAAGACAGACTAGGAAGAAGGAGAGATGGACGACTTCCTAATAGTTTGTCACTGAAAACCTTATGAATAGCAGTGGAATAGTCAGCACCAAACTATTGAATATTGAAACATGATGAAGAGTACCAGAATATTGTCAGACATAGTACCAGAAGATGGCCTCAGGTTGGCCATGGTAATGCGAATGGAGTTAAGCCCTCCTCAAGACCTCCATTCGTTGATAGGGCACAACTCAAAATAAAATGAAACAGCTGTAAGCATCCATTAATAATTAAAACATGGAATGTACTAAGTATGAATCTAGGAAAATTGGAAATTGTCATAAATGAAATGGAATACATTAGTGAGCTGAAATGGACTGGCATTGGCCATTTTGAATATGACAGCCACATGGTTTACTATGCTGGGAATGACAAATTGGAGAGGAATAGCATCACATTCATCATGAAAACAGAAAATATCAAGATCTGTCTTGAAGTACAATGATGTCTATGATAGGATAATAATATTCCTATGCCTACAAGGAAGACCAGTTACTACCACTATTATTCAAACTTATGCACCAACCACTAAAGCAAGTGATTATGAGACTGAAGAATTCTACTAACTTCTTCAGTCTGAAATTGATCAAACATGCAATCAAGATGTATTTATATTTACTGGCTATTGGAATTCAAAGGTTAGAAACAAAGAGGAAGGATCAGTAGTTGGAAAATATGGCCTTGGTGATAGAAATGATGCTGGAGATTGCATGATAGAATTTTGCAAGACCAATGACTTCTTCATTGCAAATACCTTTTTTTGTTTTGTTGTTGTTGTTGTTGTTAAGTGCCTTAGAGTCGGTTCCGACCCATAGCGACCCTGTACAGGGTTTCCGAGGCTGTAAATCTTTACGGGAGCAGAAAGCCTCATCTTTCTCCCACGGAATGGCTGGTAGTTTCGAACTGCTGGCCTTAAGGTTCGCAGCCTGATTCGTAACCACTACGCTACCAGAGTGTCGTCAAGTTGGTTACAACCCATAGCACCCCTGTTTAGGGTTTCTGAAGAGCGACTGGTGAGTTTGAACCGCCAACCTTGCAATTCAAATGGCTTTGCAGTCTGGTGCATTAACCCACAGCACCACACCTTGGACTCCAAATGCCTTTTTAGACAACAATAAAAGATTCACATGGAACTAATCAAATGGAATACACAGAAATCAAACTGACTGCACATGTAGAAAGAGACGATAGAAAAGCTCCATATCATCAGTCAAAACAGTACCAGGGGCAGACTGTGGAACAGAACATAAATTGCTCATATGCAAATTCAAACTGAAGCTGGAGAAAATTAAAACAAGTCCATGAGAGCCAAAATATGACTTTGAATATTACCACTTGAATTTAGAGATCATCTGAAGAACAGATTTTATGCATTAGACTCTAGAGACTGAAGACCAAAAGAATTGTGGGATGACATCAAGAACATGATACAGGAAGCAAGCAGAAGGCCATTAAGAAGACAAGAAAGAAGGAAAAGACCAAAAGAGATGTCAGAATAGACTCCAAAACTTACTGTCCAGAGTAGAGATGCTAAAGCAAATGGAAGAAGTTAAGAGGTACAAGAGATGAACAGAAAATTTCAAAGGTCAGCTTGAGAAGACAAACTCAAATATAATGAATGTGCAAAAAACTGGAGTTAGAAAACCAAAAGGGAAGAACATGCTCAACATTTCTCTAGCTGATAGAACTGAGGAAAAAACTCAAGCCTCAACTTGCTATATTGGAGGATTCTATGGGCAAAATATTGAATGATGCTAAAAGCATCAAAAGAAGATGGAAGGCAGAGGACCCTAGGACCATCAAGGGAGAAAAGCACAAGTAGAATGCGAGGCCTTATCCAGAGAAGCAGCGATACCAGACATGGAAGCAGAGATGGGGACATGGATAAAGGGAGCAGCTGAGGACTCTAGATACATGGGAAGAGAGAGACTGAGAACTGGCTACCAGGAGGCAGACTTGCAGAATGTGCCCTTTGGTAGTGTCAATTATTATATATGCCTGAGTGTTAAAAAAAAAAAAAAAGTTAAAATGAATAGAGAGAAATACTGTTAACTGATGGTATATGGAGGGTATTATAATCATTGTAATGAAACAAGGTATGTGATTTGTTGAATGTAAAACTGATGATCTGCCTTGTAAACATTCACTCAATTCACAATAAAAAATTAAACAAAAAAGATAGAAGCAATAAACAGAGTCACTGTACCAAAAAGAAATGGTCGTCGTTCAACCATTTCAAGACATAACATATGACCAAGAGCCAATGATCCTGAAGGAAGAAGTCCAAAGTGCATTGAAGACATTGGCAAAGTACAAGGAACCAGAAATTGATGGAATACAAATTGAAATCTTTCAGCAAACTGATGCGGCACTGGAGGCACTCACTCATTTACACCAAGAAATTTGGAAGACAACTACCTGGCCAACTGACTAGAAGAAATCCATATTTGTGCCCCTTCCAATGAGAGGGTCCTCAATGAAATGTGAAAATCATTGGATAATATCATTGATATCCCATGTGAGTAAAGTTTTAGTAAAGATAGTGCAAAAATGACTTCTGCCATATATTGACAGAGAATTTCCAAAGGTTCGAGCTGGATTCAGAAGAGGATTCAGAAGAGAGATGTCAGTTGTATCTTGGCTGAAAGCAAAGAATACCAGAAAGATGTTTACCTGTGCTTTATTGACTACACAAAGGCTTTTGATTGTGTGGATCATGATAAACTATGGACAAAATTACAAAGAATGAGTATTCTAGAACAGTTAATTATGCTCATGAGGAACCCTTACATAGACCAAGAGACAGTTGTTCAAGTAGAACAAGGGAGCACTGAATGGTTAAAAATTAGGTAAGGTGTGAGCTAGGGTTATATTTTTTCACCCTACTTATTCAGTCTGTATGCTGAGCAAATAATCTGAGAAGCTGAATTATATTTAGAAAATATGGCATCAGGATTGGAGGAAGACTCATTAACAACCTGTAATATGCGGATGATGCAACTTTACTTGCTGAAAGTGAAGAGGACATAAAATACTTACTGTTGAAGGTCAAAGACCACAGCTTTTGGTATGGGTTGCATTTCAATGTAAAGAAAACAAAAATTCTCACCACTGGACCAATAAACAGCATTCATATAAATGGAGAAAATATTACAGTTGTCAAATACTTCATTTTTCTCAGATCAACCATCAATACTCATGGAAGCAGAAGTCAAGAGATCAGATGACGTATTGCATTAGGCACATCTGCTACACAAGAACTCTAAGAACAAAGATAACCAGTTTGAAGACTAAGGTGCACCTGACCTAAGCCATTGTATTTTCAATAACCTCATATGCATACAAAAGTTGGACAGTGAATAAGGAAGACCATAGAAGAATTGATGCATTTGAATTATGTTGTTGGAGGAGAATATTAAAAGTATCATGGAGTGCCAAAATAATAAACTGATCTGTGTTGGAAGAACAGTACCAGTGTTCCTTGGATGCCAGAATGGCCAGACTTCATCTCTCATACTTCACACATATTGTCAGGAGGGACCAGTCACTGGAGAAGGATATCATTTTTGGTAATGTGGAGCATCGGAGAAACAAAGGAAGACCCCCCAACGACATGGATTGACATAGTGGCAGCAGCAATGGGCTTAGTTAGGCATAGCAAAGATTTTGTGGTTGGCCTAGGACCAGGCAGAGTTTCCTTCTGTTTTGCATAGGGTCCTTAAGAGTTAGTACTGTCTCCATGGCACCTAACAACAACAACAACAAAAAGGGGTATTCTTGTGGTAATCGTACAAATTCAGAGAATTCTTGTAGGGTTTCTGTGGCTTAGTCATTATCCTTCCAATGAGATATAGCGGTTAAACACAAAAGTATTGCTGTTAGACAGATCTGGATTCATTTTTTTCAGAACTATGTAACTTGGGACACCTCTTCTAAGGTTGTTATAATTGAATAAAATAGTATATGTAAGATGTTTGACTTGGCACATAATGGAGCTCAATGAATATTTAGTCCAGTGTATTCTGTTATTTTAGGGAAGGAAGGATTGAGAAGACAATTAATAAAATTTAACAGTTGCAGGTTTGGTTTGTTGCTTTCCAAATGAAAGCACAGTATTTCTGTTGCATTATTTCATTCTAGTATAACATCAAAGTCCTAGTGTGTCGCTGCAGGATGAGCCCTGTACCACAAGGTCGATTTTAACCAGCCTCTCCTCAATAACCTAAAGCGGGTCACTATGACTCAGAACTGACTCTATGGCACTTAATGACAACAACAGCAATATAACATGTGCATACTATTTGAATATGAGCACATTTTGTTAAGTGTCCTCCATTAGGTTCTGACTCATAGTGACCCTGAATAGGGTTTCTGAGGTTGTAAATCTTTGCAGGAACAGAATACATCATTTTTCTCCTGTGGAGCAGCTGGTGGGCTCAAACTCTTGATCTTGTGGTTCAGAGTACTCTGCTTAAAACAGTGACACCAGAGATGGATGCAGAAACAATGACATGGAGAGAGGAGTGGCTGGAGACTCTAGACCCAGAGAGGGAGAGGGACTGTGTACTGATGACCAGGGGGCAGGCTTGCAGGTTGATGATGCATGGAGGGGATTGTAACCACGGCAATGAAACAATATACGATAGGTTGAATGTAAAACTAATGTTCTCCCATGTAAACTATCACATAATTCACAATAAAACATTTAAAAAAATAAAAAGCAGTCTGCTTATCCTACAGAGCCACCGCACTACCTCCAGGGGCCCTAACAATGTATAAATGGCTTAAGTTGAATTTGTAGAAGGAAGAACTTCTGGGTTCCATGTGCTATCCTCATTTATTTCTCTTACTGACTTCATATTAAATCCATCTAGATAAGAAATCATGCAGTAGCATGTTTTTGTTATTCCACCTGTTCAACATATTGGCATCCCTGGAAGGAGCCCTAGAAGAGAGAGTGATGGAGTCAGTCACCCAATGACATGTAAATATTGACTGGGACCACAGCAATTGTAGCTGTTGTTGTTGCTTAGTGCCATCAAGTTGGTTCTGACTCATAGTGACCCTGGATAAGGTATCCTAGGAGCAGTTAGTAGATTTGAACTGCTGACCATTCAGTTCAAACTGACTATGTGGTCCAGTGCTTATCCAACAGTGCTACACAGGACCTGCTCATTAAATTCCTATAGGTCAGGAATACTGAGCATACCAGAATATGACTTTGGGAGAAAAACATACTATTTTGTTATTTTGCAAGTTTCTGTCTTAGGTCGGGCCAATGGCTCAAATCCAGATCCAACAAAAAGCATATGAACAGTTAGGAGTGAAATTCTAATTCACCAAATTAATGTTTATCTAAACTTATAAAAGAAAAATCTCGAGTTCCAGAATAAATGTCACACTTATAGATCTGTACAATGAACTGACTAACCAAAATTTTAGAAGCAATGTGACATTCTGATCAGACAATTGATCAAAACCACTCCAGAAAGCCAAACTCATTGCTGCTGAGTCAATTGTAACTCATAGTGACTGTTTAGGAGAGAGTAGAATTGCCCACGGGATCTCTAAGACTGATTTTTAGGGAAGTAGACTGCCATATTTTTCTCCTATAGAGTGGTTGGTCGGGTTGAACTACTGATATCTAGGTTAGCATCAGAGTGCTTACACACAAAGGCTACTTAACCAACCATCAGGACATTAAATATCATTGGTTCTTACCTATATTTCCCAACTTGCTTCACATTTTTAGTACTACAAGAGCACCAGATATGTCATCTCCTTTATACTCATCCTCCTTTACATCCCAGCCCTAGGAAAGCTTGTGTGTGTGTGTATGTAAAAACTATGAAGTCCCTAGGAGATATTTGTGACTTCTTTTTGGCATAAAAGGATCATGTTTTGAGCTTTTATAGTGAGGTATTATTTTTAAATTCTGGGTGTCTTTATTTTTTGAGTTAATACTTTGGAGAACAGAGAAAATATTCATAACAATATAATTTAGTAACAAAAACTTTCTACCATCTTCTTTTCAGAGAAAACCTTGTTACCAATCTAGTGAATTCAAAAACACAAGAGACTTTCCAAGATGAATGTGAAGATAACATCAACATGCAAAAAGACAAAGGACTACAGTTAAAAACTTGTTTCGGAAAGATGGAAGAGAGCTCCTTAGAAACTGGTGGCTACAGAGAAGAGATTGATTTCAAACTAGGACATAGAGTATTTGAGAAAAGCTTCCCACATGAAACTTCCCAGACATATCCAGGATCATACAATATTTCGAAAGCAGTGGAAGACCAGTTACCTCATTACTTACCAGATCATTCACAGAAGAGGTATCAGTCTTTTAAAGATGAACTGGATAATTACACTCAAATGCAGACCGTCAAAGGACCAGAGCCAAAGTCTTGTGTCAGAGATATGGGAGATTGCTTTATGGAAACACATGGGCACAGAGAAGTGGTTGATTCTGAACCTAAACACACAGTTTCATCTGAGACTTCCCAAACCTACCAAGAACCATACAATATTTCACCAATGGAAAGCCAGTTATCATATAGCTTACCAGCTCCTTCAGAGAGGACATATGACTCTTTTAAAGAACAGAAATCTAGAGGACTAGAACCAAAGACATGTCTCAGAAAGATAGAAGATAGTTTTATAGAAGCCCATTATAACAGAGAAATTGTTGAGTTCAGACCTAGACATACAATGCTTGAGCAAAAATGCCCATTTGAGACTTGCCAGACCTACTCAGAATCACCCAGTATTTCACAAACAGTGGACAACCAGTTACCTCATTGGTCACCAGATCATGACAGTAAACAGAGACTAGAATATTTATCAGAAAAACCAGTACCTCTGAGCCTTATCCAACAAGACAATAACTCTGGCCCACAAAGTGTAGAATCTGAAGTTTCCAAGGACCTCTCAGAAAACAACACAAGTGATCTTCAAGTAGGTCATAAACGGAGACATCAGAAGAGAAAGAGGCAGCGTCTGAAAGAAGGAGAAGAAAAAGCAGAGAAGGTGCAGTCCAAACATAAAAGGAAAGGGAGTTATGAGGATGTAGATTTAGAACAGAAGAGCATCCAACAAAAGGGAGGAATGGTAGATGAAGTCTTTGTTAGTTCAGGAAAGCTTAAGCATAAAAAGAAGAAAAAAAGTCATGATGTAGCCTCTGAGAAAGAAGAACGTAAACACAGAAAAGAGAAAAAGAAACGTGCTAAAGAAAAGACAGAAGAGGAAATGCTTTGGGATGAATCTATTCTTGGATTTTGAAATTTTCAGTTGTGTTTACCCAATGAAGAATTGAAGAAATCAGTTCAGAATATGGATTTAAAGAAAACAAGAGCATCCAATGAAGAAAAGGAGAGGTAGTTATTGTTGTTATGTGCCTTCAAGTTGGTTCATTCCAATTCATAGTGACCCTGTATGGGATTTCTGAGGAGTGGCTGGTGTGTTTGAACCACTGACCTTGCAGTTAGCAGTCCAGTGCTTATCCTACAGTGCCACACCAAGAACCCCAGAAGTATGCATGTCAATGTCAATTCAGGAAAGCTTAAGCATTAAAAGAAGAAATACAAATGTCTAAGCCTAGCCTCGGAGTCCTGGTGTGGTGCTGTGGGCTAATGCGTCAGACTGCAGAAGTCGTTTGAACTGCAAGGTCGGTGGTTCAAGCTCACCAGCTGCTCCTTGGAAACCCTATACAGGGCCGCTATGGGTCAGAATCGACTCGATGGCACGTAACAACAATAACAAGCCTAGCCTCTGACAAAGAAAAACATAAGCACCAAAACCCACCCAGCAGCTCCACAGGAGATCTGCTTTGATACAGACCATAACCTAGAAAACGCTATGGGGCAGTTCTACTCTTATCACATGGGATCCTTATGATCAAAACCAACTCTATAGCACCTAACAACAAGAAGCATGGAAAAAACAAGAGAAACCTGTTAAAGAAAAATAAAAGAGCCAATGCTTGGGGATGGATCTGTTCTTCGATTTTTAAACTTTTTTTTTTTTTTTTTTAGTTTTGGTACCCCAATGTTGAATTGAAGAAATAGATTGAAAAGATTGGTTTCATGAAATTCATGTTATTTGAATTTTCCTATGTGTACCTACAGGTACTTGAACCTCTAACAGCCAAGAGAAGCAAAAGTGTTCAATATGCATTTTCCCCAAGTTGGAAATCACTGTCCTCATTTTTTAAAAGAAAAGTTCCATGTTTCTTACATGTAATGTAATATTCATCAAATTGCTGTGATAGTAAATTATTTACCCTTGGAGCTCGTTTATTTTAAGTGAGACAATTAACCAGGCATTGAAGAATCCATTCCTTTTTTGGGTTCATCTTGGTGTTGATGGTGTTTTATTGTTGTAGTGTATTTGTTTATGTTTCCTGGTTTTCTCCAGAAAATGTCTGAAATAATTTAGAATGATTTTTTTCTTTGTTAAATCTAAGTTTTAGTGTATTTTTGTACTTTCTAGTTCTGAAAGTGGAAAGTGAAACAGCTATAATAAATTTAGGTGATTTCATCTTAAATTCTCAAAAATACTGATACAAAATCAATCTATATTATGGAAATGTTTATATTAAAGCGTTATCATTTCTACGTATTTTTTATGTATGTGATCATTTTATTTGGGGAAAAAGAGGACAATAATTGGTCAGTTTGTAAATAGGACATCTGGGGAAAGCACTCTCTAAAGTTGTAATAGTTGTATTTCTTCTACATCTTGCTTAATAAAAGTTGATATTCAAACTTTAGCCCAGTTTTAGGTTAGAAAAATATAAGTGACTGAATATTTGAAACTGATGAAGGAATACTTTATAAATAGTCAAGGATCAGGAGGGTGTGTTAACCTTTAAATTGTTTTGTTATGACCATTTGTTTATTATTATTCTAGTGTTTCCCTTTTTGTAATAAGCACCTATGTTACATTGTAGGATGATTAATGGCCTGAGAGTCTAAATCCCAGGGTTTGATCTAATTGTGCCATCAAGGTGCTGTGTTACTTTGTGGAAAAACCATTAAAATCCTACATAGAGTAATCAAGATTAGAAAAATAGACTATGGTAAAGCCCTGATGTATTCATCCAATCAGAAAAGTGAATCAATTTAGGAAGTAGTATATTTGTATTTGGAGTCCTGGTGTGACACTGTGGGCTAATGCATCCGACTGAAAAGTCGTCTGAACTGCAAGGTCGGTGGTTCAAGCTCACCAGCTGCTCTTTGGAAACCCTATACAGGGTCTCTATGGGTCGGAATCAACTTGACGGCACTTAACAACAATAACATATCTGTATTTAGACTCGTTGTATGGTGCTGTAGGATCAGCACTGGACTGTGAACCACAAAGTTGGCAGTTCAAACTCACCAGCTACTCCTCAGAAACCCTATACAGGAGGGTCACTATAAGTGGAAATTGACTTAATGGCACTTAACAACAACATATCTGTGTTTAGGCAAGTCATTTAATAGCTGTAGGGTGTTTTCCTTTGTGATTGGATAAAATTATAAATATGAACTGAAGCATAATACATTTGGCTGAACTCATAACTGGTTGAATGACTAAACCCAAAGAGAATTAGATGGTCCCAAAATGAACTTTTCTTCCATGAGAATGTTAGTGTGTAGCTCTGTGGGTTAATGCGCTGGACTGCAAAGTCAGGTTGAGCCACAAGGTCGGTGGTTCAAGTTCACCAGCCACTCATCGGAAAGCCTATACAGGGTCGTTATGGGTCGGAACCGACTCGACAGCACTAAACAACAACAACAATTAACTTTCCTTCCATGAGAATGTTACTGTAAGATTATTTTGTGCTATAATATCACTTCCCTTCTTTTTTAACATGTTGGATAAACTGGTTAGGAAAGGGGAAGGAGAGTTAGAGTAGGCTGTCAGCCACAAAAGTGTCAAATTCTCTTTTTTTCTGAACACCAACCCACACATACACACAAATGCAGCCTTTTTTCACAGAAAACATCAATTGAATTGATAGCAGGTTTGGAATTGATCATTTATTTTGCAGAAATCCATTTCATGTTTGAAACTTGAGGGGACATAAAAAAAAGATCATAAAATATAGCAGATTACTGTGATCTTTTCTAAATAAGAAAATTACATACAGAGGTTCATTAAAATTAGCAGTACACAACTTTATACTGGGTAAAACATTGCAAATTTCAAAAATTAAAGTAATTGATATTGGGTGGTGTGGGTTTGGAGCACAGGGACATAAGGATGTGGTATTGATTTCAGTCTCAGTGAAGTCACCAATGACCATCAAAAATTTTAAGACACAAATATTTTGTGCTGTAGGAAAAGCACTGTGAACTACAAGATCAGCAGTTCAAACTCACTGGCCGCTTCTCAGAAGTCATTTAATAGCTTTAGGGTTTTTTTCCTTTGTGATTGGATAAAATGATAAATATGAACTGAAGCATAATATGTTTGGCTAAACATATAACTGATAGAATGACTATACACGGTTGCTATGAGTTGGAACGGACTCAACAGCACTTAACAACAACCACGAAATAAGTTTTATGTTGTCTCTGTCATAAAATACATTCTATGTTAAACCTACCATAAAACATTGTATGTTAATCGGCATAATGTTGTCGTTGAATGCCCTGAATCCCTACTTTGGCACATCTGCTTTCCTACTAATTTCTGCTTCTGTGACCCCTTCAAGGAACACATGGAGTTAAGAGTATAAGTCTAGATCTTTAAATATATATGTTGTTGTTATTAAGTGCTGTCGGTTCTGACTCATAACAACCCTGTATAGGGTTTCTGAGGAGCAGTTGTTGTGTTTGAACTGCCATCTTTCAGTTCAAAGTGACCTTGTGGTCCAGTGTTTATCCTACAGTGGCACACTTGTTCTTATGTGCCGTGGAGTTGGTTCCGACTCATAGTGATCCTGTACAGCGTTTCCGAGGCTGTAAGTCTTTACGGGAGCAAAAAGCCTTATCTTTCTCCTGCAGAACAGCTGGTAGTTTTGAACTGCTGACCGTGAGATTAGCAGCCCAATTCATAACCACTACACTACTAGAGCTCCTAAATATATATAGGATCTAAATAAATAAAAAACAAGCTTTCTTTTCTGGAGCTGAATGCTATAGATATAATAAGGGGAAATCTGATGCCATAAATACTAAGACCTGCAGTTGAGTGTGGAAGATACTTCAAAAACAGATTTGAGGTGACACAATTTAGAGGATCATATGTGAAAACAATGTTGAGGTTTTTATTACATGCTTAGTTTGAAAGACATGCTCATCCAAATGTAAAATCAATGTATAGACAAATAATATAGAAGACAGTATTCAAAACAAGCAGCTAACTTCAGAGATGCATCCTTAACTGAGTAGAAAGGACAAGGAGGCAAATTTTGGCTGTATATAGAACATAATTTTAAGAATTGGAGTTATAGAATAAGTGTAACTATCTTGTTATATACATGCATTGAACAAGTAAGAGCTGATTGTCAGCGTTGTGATAGGAAGTAACATGAGAAAAATGAAGAACATAAATTCTGTTCCACAGACAGCTAAGTTGAACAGAGAAAACGAACCAATAAATAGGCAATTGCATCATAAATATTAAAAGTTGTTATAGGAGTGCTGCAGGGTTCTGTGAATAGCAGGGCATTCAAGAAAGATTTCCCAAAGGAAGTGGCATCTAAGCAGAAGCCTACAAAAGGATGAGTTCCATGCAATAAATGCAGAAGGAAAGGAAAATGTGTTCCTAGCAGAGGGATCACAATAGACAGAGATGCGGAAGCAGAAAAATAGTTGTTCATTTGGAAAGAGTGGGAGTTTGTTAGTCATATTAAGGAATTGTACATACCCTAGAACTGAGTAGTCTTTAAAGAATACATCGTTTTGTTTTGTTTTTTAGGTCACTTCAAGAAAGATCTCAACCCACCCCACCTAAAATATCCTAATACCAATTGACTCTATCTAGGGTGGCACAACAAAAAAATTTTTTTTTTAATTTACCAAAAACCACATTTTTTAAAAGTAAAAATTAACAGATGAAATTAATATATCTTATTTAATACAATATGCCCTGAACATTAGCCTTTAATATGTAATAAGTACAAAAACTATTAATAAGATTTTCATGCTTTTTTGTGTTTTTTATTTTACATGTATGTTGTTGCCAAGTGCTATCTGTATAGGGTTCCTGAGGAGTGGCGGGTGGGTTTTAACTGCCGACCTTACAGTTCAAACTGACCTTGTGATCTAGTGCATTATCCTACAGGGCCA